TCACCCTGCGTCTGGCCAGCGGCCAGGGAGCCTCAGCCAGGGTCGTGGCTTCCTGCTCCTGGATTCTGGCAGAACAGAAATTGCTCTCCTGGGGCCATCCCCAGGGACTGAGCTGAACGTCATACCTGGGTATTCGTCCAACCACTCTCATCTCAGTGATTTTCCCGGCATAGCGGGCAGGCACCCTCAGCCCAGCTGCGAACAGGACCGGGTCCTGCACACTGGGCAGTGGGGCTGCCACTTACATTGGCGTCCTTGGCCGGTGTCCAGTGGGCAGTCGGCTGCAGCTCACGGAGAGCGGGAGAGGGGTGCCCGGTGGGCTCTGCTGCTCACACGCACGCTTGCTCACTCAAACCACGTCCACAGGCCCTGAGCCCCAAGTCATGGCCCACGAGCCCGAGAGGACAGTCCTCTTGCTGACATAGCAGCGTCTTTAGACTATTTCTGGCTCTTTGCTTCAGGAAAGGGCCTTTCTTCAGGAGCGTATGGTGGAGGGAGGAGGCAGCTGCAGGGAGAGGGTCCCTCCGGGTGCCCTGGTCCCCACAGCTGGGCTGTGTTGGCAGGGTTTGCCGTGGTGCCCGACGTACCTCCAGGCTGAGGAAGGCCTGGTCGGCGTGTGGAGTTCGTTGTCTGCGCGGTAGGCAGACACGTCCCACGCCCGTACGCATCCCGTGACTGCGCCGTTGTCGCCGTTCACTGGCCTCCCCTTGGTCCATACGCCCTTAAAGATGCTAACTTTAAAAATTGACAGACTTCGCGGCTTTTTTTAAGGTTTTTGCCATAGGAGACAGGCGCTCACCTGAGAGAGACAGAAACAGTGGGTGGGCACGTGAGAAGTCACCCCCGCCTTCTCCTCCTGGGCTTGATTTGTAAGCTGCTGGGTCTGGGGCTCAAACCGCAGTCCACCACGTGAGAGTCCAGCACCTTAACCACCATGCCGCCCGCTGGACCCGAGCAGCCTTTACTTTTCAGAGCAGTTTCAGGTTCACAGGAAAACAGGACAGCAAGCAGAGGATTCCCAGGCCACGCCTGCTGCCCCCGGCCATGGCCCGGTTCAGAACAGCCTGTCTGTGCCCGCTCCCACTGGTACGCCATGTTGACACCGTCGAGGATTGGCGGCAGGGGTCACAGTGGCCATGGCCCGGTTCAGAACAGCCTGTCTGTGCCCGCTCCCACTGGCATGCCACCTTGACACCATCGAGTGGGGTCGGGGTCACAGGGGGGTCCCTCTGCATTTCAGCTCCTCCGCGTGGTGACTGTGCGGCGAGGCCTGTGGCTGCCGTGCAGCCTTGGCAGAGTGGTCTCGCCGCCCTAACGGTTCTCTGCTCCTCCTGCCCCCTCCCTCCGTCCCTGGCAACCACTGATGGCTTCACTGTCCCCGAATTCCCCTCTGGGTTCCAGCGGGTGGGACTGGCACAGTGTGGAGCCCCGTCAGTGGTCTCTTACCTAGTTAGTGGTGAGCACTCGCTTCCCTCCCTGCTTCTTCATGGCTTCATAGCTCACTTCTTTATTGCACTGGATAGTCGGAGAGGTCTTCAGAAAGTCCGCGAAGAGTGTGATGGTGTAAATGCTTGCATTTCACAGTTTTGCACCAGAAGAAATTCGTACTTTTAATTCTGTTTTTCGAACTGCCGGAGGGCTCGTGTGATCCCCGGAGAGCACTGAGGGTGGGGTCCCACTGCGGGCCCACCCCTGCACCTCTCTCCACGCTCTTGGGATCTGGCATACCTGCATGTGCTGGCATGGCCTTCAGCCCACCAGGGCTGGGATTTGAACCATGGTCAGCCCTGCAGGATCTGGTGTCCTTTAGACAGCGCTTGACCACTGCATTGCCAAACCAGCTCTAATTCCATTTTTACATTAACTTTTTCTTTTTTTAAGAGATTTTTGCTATAGGGTGGGCATGTGCATCACTGGAGAGCTAGAAAGTGAGAAATCACTTCCCAAGGGGCGTGGCCACACTACAGTCCCTTCTCCATTCTCTTGTCAGGATTTTGGGCACAGAGATACATGCAACAGGCATGAGTTTCCAGCCGCTGGGTCCAAGATTCGAACTGCAGTTGGCCATGTGGGGGTCCAGTGCCTTAACGCCCCCTCCATGCACTTTGTGAAGTCCCCTCGTTCTCCACTGTCTCGGTGTACCACAGTTGTTTACCGTTCCCCACAGAGGGACACCCTGCTTGCTCCCCAGGCGGGTGGTTAGGAACAGCACCACCGGAGGAGCGTCTGCGTCAGGCCAGCCTGGGTGGCTGCGCCGTGCCCCGCGGTGCTGAGCCAGCATGGGCAGGCCCTGGGTCTGTGTGTCGGGTCTCCCTGTACTCTGATGTGGCTAGCTGAGGCTGGAGGACTCCTTGGCTCGAGGGTCCCAGTGGGGCACCTGTCTCTCATGGGAGACGTTTTAGAGATGTATTTATGTGCAGGTTTCTCTGTGGACTGGAGTTTCCAGCCTCTCTGGATGAATGCCAGTTCACCGGACTGCCAGACTCTTAAGATGCCGAGTTACGAAAGCGTCGCGGGGCACCCAGCCCCTCCCTGTGTCCTGACGCCTGTGTCTTCCCCAGGGACGACGACCACGAGGACGGGTTCTGCCAGCCCTACCGGGGCATCGCCTGCGCCCGCTTCATCGGGAACCGCACCATCTACGTGGACTCTCTGCAGATGCAGGGAGAGATCGAGAACCGCATCACGGGTAGGAGCCGCAGCCCTTTCTCTCGCGACGCCGGGCACGATGCAGCCCCAGACGCAGCCCCAGACGCAGCCCTCACCAGCTGGGGTTCCAGCACGTTCCTCCTCTCTCTCTCTCGCAGTAGGAAGTTGGGAGGTTTGTAGAAGCAAACGCAGGTGCTGACGTGACCGCCCACGCCCGTGTGGGAAGTGGCAGGACCACGTGTTCAGGCCCTGCTCCTGCACTCGGGCCGCTGCTGGCCCGAAGCCCCAGCCTGGCCACGGCACTGCCAGGCACCTGTCACTGGCGGGCTCCTGTCACTGGCTAGTTGCTCTTGGGCCCATTTCTATAATGGGTCGTCGTACGGGTTTCATGTGGACTTCTCCAGTGTGCAGTCTCAGAAAACCACTTTACACACAGGTCCGGGAAGGACCCAGTGCCTGTCACACAGCAGACCCCAAAGTGCAAACTGGGCGCCGCCTCCAGCTGCTCTGGGAGTAAATGGGAGGCGGCAGCGCCACCTGCTGACCACAGCTGGCAGGGCAGGCACAAGTCCTGGGTGGAGCAGGGGTGCTCCTCGCCTGGCAGAGACCAGCGGAACAGGTGCCGGGCCCGGCCGGCCGGGCCCCGTCTGGTACAGCACCTTCTCCCCTGCCGTGGTCTGGCCAGCACAGGCATCCCCTTTCTGGACACACTGTCCTTGCGTCTTTTGGGTTCCCCGCCTGACCTGGGTGCTGGGGAGACCCAGGCCCGGGGCATGCCGCTTGTCCTGCCCTGTGTCTGCACCCCCGTGCCTGCACCCCCGTGCCTGCAGAGCCCCACCCTCGGCAGCCGAGGGAGTGCTTTCGGGTCTGGGATCTGGTCCGGGCAGGGAAGAAGCACCTGCCTGAGGGAGAGTTCGGGCTGTTCCCTTCTTTCTTGTTCTGCTTCTGACTTGGAAGTGAAGCCTGAGGACCAGGGACCTGTGTCCACTGCGAGCCGCGTCAGCTGGTGGGCAGGGCACTTGAGAGCCGTGCAGGGTGAGGGTGGGGGCTGAGGACAGCTCCTCCGCTCCCTGCGGGCTCCTTGGACCACCAGGGTGATAGGGTTGGAGTGCTGGGTCTGGGGGTCCAGAGTGCGCGGAGGGGGTCCAGAGTGCGCGGAGGGGACACGGAGCAGCAGACGGATTGTCTGGAGGCCCAGAGTTGGGGTCCGAGGTGTCCGAGCAGGGATCCAGGTGGGAGACAGGGCCAGAGTGGAAGGTCAGCAGAGGAGAGGGACCAGGGTCAGGGCTACAAGTTGGGGGCCCGGGGTGAGAGGTTGGGGGCTGGGGGCAGGCGTGCCAAGGTGTCCCTGGTTGGGGGTGAGGGCTGGCTGGGGTGGCTCGGGGGCTCAGAGTGGGGGGTCCTGCGTGGGGTGGAGCAGGGTAGTGGGGGTTCAAGGAGGGCTATCAAGTGTCCTGGTTGGGGAGGGCATGGGGCCACCGGGCGGGCTTTGGGTGGGGCGCAGGGCAGTGGCTGGGCGTGTAGGCCGGGGCACTAACACGGCTCTCTGTGTCGCAGCGGCCTTCACCATGATCGGCACCTCCACGCACCTGTCGGATCAGTGCTCGCAGTTCGCCATCCCGTCCTTCTGCCACTTCGTGTTCCCACTGTGTGACGCGCGCTCCCGGGCGCCCAAGCCGCGCGAGCTGTGCCGGGACGAGTGCGAGGTGCTGGAGAGCGAGCTGTGCCGCCAGGAGTACAGCATCGCGCGCTCCAACCCGCTCATCCTCATGCGCCTGCAGCTGCCCAAGTGCGAGGCGCTGCCCATGCCCGAGAGCCCGGACGCCGCCAACTGCATGCGCCTCGGCCTCCCGGCCGCGC